TGTAAGAACAATGAGGAGCTTTTCTTCTGACCAGTCTGCATCTTTTTTTGTTGTTTCTAAAATAGGACATCTGGCTAACTGAAAGTTTTGGATGTGTTTTCTTCTGCTTCTTTGTTTTGTTTCGGATTTGTTTTTTGTTGTTATTGTGGTTTGGGTTTTTTTTTTTTGTTAGGCTGCTCATAAACATATGGCTTATTTGTCTGTGGATGTAGCTGACTGCTTAGAGCAGGTAGGCTAGTATATCTCAATGGTAGGCTGTTTCTCTCTCATCTTTATTCTTTTTATAGTGCCTCTCACCCAGCTTTTGTAGTATGGGACTGCTTGACCTAATTTGAGTAAAACGTAGTAGACTCGGCTTTTGTTTTCACTAAAGTTGGTGTAGTGCATCTGAAAAAATGAGAACATCTTTAAAGGTATGGGACGTACATGATAGGAAAGTTTTGAAAGAGTAAAATGGCAGATTACTGTTCCCTGTGATAAAAAAATGTTAAGACTAGCACTTTGTGATTTGCTTGTGCATCTTCTGACCACAGAAATTTTTTTCATACATACTGCATCTCTGATACGGTATTTCCTGTTGTTAGGAGTGGAAAGAGGTCTTAATAGTGGAAATGAGAAGCAAAGTCTTAAAGGGATAGTATCATGTTTTGACAAATACTATGTATACTGTTTTTGTTACCTGTGCCTTTCACACACCAAATGTTAAGACTGACATCACTGCTTTCTTGAGGTGGTTACTTTAGTGTATTTGTAATGTTTAGGATTATTATGAAGTAAAGTCTTGTTTGTGTTAGTCAGACACAGTAAAAATGTCTACTTCTTGCTTAAGCTGATTTGCCGTAATTCATGCTAAGTATGAGGGAGACCAAGACTGTGTTTTTGGAGTGATGTAAGAAAAGTTTTCAGTTTATGTTGTCTGGAGAATACATTTTTTGGAGTTGTAATTCAAACATGTTTAACTTGAACGCAGTGAAAATGTGAACTTTTTTATAGAGGAAAAAATTTAACAGGAGACTTAAATGACAAATATGGGAATCAATAGTCTTTTACTCCTAACGTCAGCATCCTTAATTTAGATGACTTTACTTTTATTTTTCTCAAGTATCTACCTTTACAGAGAAAGGTTAGTGGATATAGTCCTTAAAATGCTGGTGAGTTAGCAAGAATAAACCTTGAAGTTGTTAGGAGAACAACTCTACTTAGGCCCTTGGGAGAGCTAACTGACAGAAATAATAACTGCATGTGCAGAGCTCTGCATATGAGAGGAAGGGGGAGTGGCTTTTTCTGATATGGTGTCATCCTGCAGTGGTGCAGTAAAAAGTCTGTGAAAGTGGAAAGTATTTATTGGCTTGCTAAGTTGATCTGCTTAAGTTTTCACATGAAATTTTTTTTTTTTAAATACCTTAATTCTAGAATTTTGAATTGATATCTGAATGCATCTTGCTACAAGTGCAATAGATGAGCTCACTAACAGCTTCAGCTGGAGTTATTTGTTGCTTGTAGGTTGAGGAGGGGGAGGTTGGTGCAGTAATTCTATTTGTATTGTCCAGTTTTGGGAGTCTTGGTGCTGGGTTTCACAGTGACTGCTGAAGGAGGAGCGTATAGACCTTATCACTTAATTTGGGCTATCCAAATCAGATGATTAAGTTAAGTGGACTTGAGGTTTTGAAAATCTTTAAGGACCTCTTATTGATGAGTCTGTCTCTAAACATGCAAAACTTGGAACTATTTTGTTTACCTCTGTTCTTGTGCACTACTAACTTGATCTATGGTGTATTCAAGAAAGTAAGCTTTGCTTTATTTTGGCTATCTATTCTTACAGTTCAGGTAATTAACTTTCCATGAAATTTCCCAAATAAACCAATAATGTGGAGATCTACAGGTCCACGGAAGAGATGTGTTCTTACAAGATAAAAATGGTACTGGATCATGAGACTCCTTCCATAGTTTTAATAAATGCCAGCAGTGTGATTTTCTTTATGAACATGACTCTCCTGAGCTGGGTCATGTTGATACTGATGAACCTGCCTGTGATGATTTATTTTAAGGTGGCTTTACAGCGATGAGCTTCCCTATGGGTATCCATTCTCAACTTTCTTCTTCAGAATAAGCTTCTGAAGAGGTTAAGGTTTGAGCCATTAGCAGCTAGAATATTTGTGCCTTATTTATACTCTCTGTATTAAGTATAAAGAAAGCCTACAGCTGGTGGTGTGAGATTCTGAAAATGAAACCATATAAATAACAATGGTGCTCTCTGTCACTTAGTTCAAGAGGTGGCTCTGTCCAGTGTTGTCTTTGAGGTCTGATATTAGATCCTCTGACTCATGTTGTAGTAATTCTATAAATAATCTGTTTCTTGATATCTTGCTATAAAAGTGTGTGAATAGTTAATGTGGAGAAGGTGGTCTTAGCATGACAGGTCTCTGCTGTGTATCATTTTGGTTTTCTGTTCACCATAATTTTTAAATTTAAAGGGTTTTGGTTTGTTTGGTTGGTTGGTTTTGGGTTTTTTTCTGTGATAGCTCTTATTTAACCAAATAGAATCTGTGCAACATTTTGTTTGCAGTCATCCCAGGTGCTTGCTCCCTACTGTGTTTTTAACCCTTTGTAAAGATACTGTGTCAACATACCATTACATTGGGTTATATTCAGTATCAGATTTAAAAAGCATTGAGTCTTGAGAAACCTTCTTGGTGTTTTACATCCAAAACTGTGCTGTCTAGTGAACATATCAGGGTTGGGTTTTGCTGTCTTTCAGCAGTGCAGATATGTCAGTGCATCAGATTAATAGGTTGTATTTAAAAGCAATTTTAATAACTTGTAATAAAGTTTATTTCTTTATAATACCCAGATGTGTGTACCAACTAACATTTCCCAGCTTTTTAATGTCCAAGTGTTTTTTCCAGTTCCATAACTGAGGAGAATTAAGGAAAACGTCTCTTGGCTTTCTTGATGAAAAAAACTTAGAATCGAACGGCATAACTTTTTAATATACCTCATACGTTGCTCAGTCTTGTTCATCCTCCTGCTTTGATCAGAAAACTGCTTTGCTAAAGTTGTTTTCAGTTTCAGCTGTAGCTGTTAGATGAAGATCATAGCTTGTCTTTGAGCAACTGGTTTGACAGACCAGATGTGCTAGGTTTAGGGATGATTCTCTCCCTTTCCTCCATCCCTTGTGCTGTGTGTCCACCTTGCTTCACCTCACTCTTCTGCTTGTCTCCAACAAGCTCCAAAACCAAACCTATGAATAATAATCATATGGAGAGAGGGACTCCTATAGCCCCTAGAAAACGTGCTCACAGAAGGGTCTGTCTGGTTTGTTTTGTGTGAGTGCAGAATCAGGCATGGTCGTCTTTTAAAAGTTCTTGGTCTCTATTCCAGAAATTCAGTGAAGTGGGTAAAATAGGATCCTCCCAAGAATGTTGATAAAGCAGGCAGAAAAGCCTTCTTCCTTAACAGATGAAATGAAATCTAGGTCCTAAGAACAGTGGGGTGAAGCGTTTGAAGAGAACTCGCGTTACTTGCACAGTTCATTATGAAAATGGTTGCGTAGGTGAGTCCTGCACTGCAGATGCAGGAGACTGAAAGTCAATTCTTGGCTTTCTCTGATAGGGAGCAAACTCTGAGCCTCCGTCTTCCGCATCCCAGGTGAGAACATAAGGCAACTTGCTCACGTTTGCGAGAAAAACTCTGGGGTAACTATACTTGTAAGTTTAGATTTTTAAAAAGCATCTTAAAAATTCTTAAAACTATCAAAACTGATTGGGTTGGTAATGGGAGAGGAAGTTAATGCGTAACCGTTCTGAAAGTTTCATCTGCGGTGCCCAGAATCTGCCTGTGGGCCCCCTGCTGCGCTGATTAAGTCTCGCATATAGCAAGTGGTCCAAGTGAGGGATGGAGGTGGTGAGGAGGGATGTTGACTTTGATTTTAGCTTTTGCAATCTGGTGTCAGTTTTAAATGAAAAAAATGGGAGAAAATTGATGAGTGGTGTATCGTGTTGCTTAAAATTGTACATAAATATATCTTTGGGCTTAGAAAGGTACCAAACTTAGTGTAAGGATTTTTCTCGAGTATGTTTTCTTTTAATAATGTCACAGTTCAGTGTTAATGGGTCTCTTAAGAAATAATTGATTTAAGAAATGGAGAGAAAGCTTAAGAGGGGAAAAAAGTCTCCTTCCATCCCCCTGCATGGCATGTTTCAGTGTTTCTCGACCTGAGAATAGGTTAATAGCATGTGTGCTGGTCTTTGAAGTGTAGCTGGAGGTCAGTATCCAGAAGACAGTTCTGCAGTTCTTGTTCTAACGATTTTTTTCCTGGTCCCACCCCCCTTGTCTCTCCCTCAGCTCCTCATTGTGTGTTGAACACAGGATAACTTTGCCATGAGCAAGCTTTATGATGTGAATTTCGGTACCATGTCAGATTCTCCTAACGGCCTTTATGCTTGCTTTCCACCTCTCCCCACTTAGCAGTTCGCTGTCTGGTGGGCAGGGACATGCACACCTACAGTTACCGCAGAGTAGCGCCTGTATGCTTTTATGCTTTTGTAGATCCACAAGTATTTCTAAGCTGAAATTTCTCTGCTCCACTTTAGATTCCTCTCAAGTTGTTCAGCTCTGACCTGTTGGAATCTGGAGATGAGTTGGAGAAGAGAACTGCTTGTCTGGAATTTTGTGTTCTCTGAAGATGGCTGCTTGTGCTGCAATTCCCAGTGATTCCTGCCCCCACACTAAGATTGCCTTGAGAGTCAATTAGTTGCTTTCACTTAAACTTAATTGGGATTCCTTCATACTATTCTAGTTTGGTAAGCAGGAAATGGGGAAGAATGACTGAGGCTTCAGGCCCAGCTGTAGGTGTCTGAGGCTCAAATACCCAACTCTGGGACTTGCCCTCCAGCTTTGGACAGAAACTGGTCACTCAGGAATGGGAATCTTGGAGAGGGGGGCTGTGTAAAGAGAGCAAGCATTACGAACAGGTAATCTTCTCTCTTCTTTTCTTCTAGCTTTGGAAGAACATTCTTCTCAGATACTGAGAAATCTGGACTTGTTAACAGTGTTCTGCCTGAAGGAATACAAGGAATTGGTATTTGTAGTTTCCTTGCAATTGATTTTTTTGGTATTGGTGCCTCTTACTTTTTCTGTGGTTTTAGATCAAGCAACAGCATGAGCACAGTAAGTATTTTAATCTTTACAGTATTTGCAAACCTGATTGCTAAAACGTCTTGTTTCTGGTACCTCTAGAAAGGTTTGTAAGATTTTGCAGTAAATACACTGGGACATAAGCATAGGAAAAGTTAATGTAACTTCATGTTCTGTGACACTTCTGATTTTTAATCTCTCGGGGTGCTAGCAAGAGTTCAGAAATGCTTACTTAGAATGTCAACAAAACCCTTGGGTCAGCCTGATTCTGATGGTGTGCAGGAAGCAAACATCTGATGTAATTGTGAATAGACTTCTCACTTGCAAACCATCACGATAGGTTTTTTCTTTGTGACCCAACTGGTAAGAGATCTGGGGTGACGTCTTTTCCTTGATGCGATGCGTTGAGGTAGGAATGACCCATGCCACTGTTCTTGGCATATTACAGCCTTTCTAGGGGGATGCTTTGTGTATCCTTGTGTGCTTTCATTAGTGCTGCAAAGATGAAGGCCACATTACTTAGCAAGAAAATGCTAAGGTTTTGTTCTCTCTCAGGCTCAACGAAAGCGCCGTGGAGGAGCAGTTAATTCTAGGCAAGCTCGGAAACGAAACAGGCTGACAGCTTCTACTGCAGAAATGGCTTCAGAAGCAGAGCCAATAGAACTTGAAGAAAGTGGTAAGCTTTATTTTTAGCTTGGTAAGAACATCAATTGCTTCTGGAGGGTTGGAGTCCTGTTTAATGTGTATTTTTTCCACGTTCTAGGCCCTTTACTAGGGAGGAAGGGAAACCTGATTTTAGAAAGTGTCTAGTATCGCATCTATGAACAAGTCTGCTGACAACTGGTTTAGTTTGTTACAGAGGTGTGATATGTTCACCACTTCTGATAGATGAGTTGTATAAGAAGGGTACTCAAGAGCTGCTCAAACATCTGAATGTGCGTTCTGATGAGCTGGGAGTCACTGCAGCTGTTGCTTCAGATAGCAGCACACTAAGTTTGGGAGCTCCCAGGTTTTAAGAAGATAAGGAAATGTTTGTCATCAGTCGTGTCCCATCCCTCAAGGGAAAGGCAGTTACTGGTCAGTACGTTTTTACACTGAATTTAAAAAGACTCCTTGGCCTCCTAAATAGGTATTTAAATTGCCTTCTGAAATTGTAGGAAAAATTAAAAGTAACTCTTGGTCTCCAGGTAATTGTATGGGTTTTTCTGGTTTTGCTGTGAATTTGACTATGAAAGATTGGAAGAAACATGAGACAGGAACATTTACAGCATGGTACTGTAAAATTATTCTGTCCCATATGATTCCTGTTTTATTCTGTGTGATAAACATTCTCCTATATAAGATGAATACCTTGTTGCTATGTAGCTTGCACAAGCTGTTGTCCTACAACAGAACTGGATGAGGACCTCAGCTGCTGTTCCTCCTGCATTCAACTTGCAGAAGACAGTAGTGATAATGCTCTATATGGACTGTTAGGGGCAAAGCTTGAGTCAGGTGCTGGATAAGTTCCTGAAGAGAGGAGGGATAGGGCATGGTTGAATCATACCTCAGCCTGTTACGTAGTAACAGGCAATTTTCTTCCTCTGCAACCTCTGATCTTGTTTCTAACGTTCTGTTTTGAAGCTGGTGAAGAAGTAGTAGATCTCACGTGTGAATCATCTGATCCTGTAGTCGTCGATCTAACTCACAATGATTCCGTTGTGGTAAGTAATGAATGGCACACTCATCTAAATCTTGTGGTCAACTTAGGTTTGTCTTGTGCTTCCTGATAGAATCTGGCTTGAAGGATGTCAGTTCCAGGTTGACTTGTCAGTGCATGAAAGCCATGTGTTACAGGTCAATACTGAAGCTGCTCTGGAAATGCACTTGCAGATAGATAGAGGGTAATGTAAAATACGTTTTTAGTCTAGAACTTTGGGAGAATATATACCAGTCATGAGTAATGTGACATAAGGGGATGCAATTTAAAGTTGGAGCTATGATAGATTTATCAAAGATACAGGCCAATAATTTAAATCAAAAGTGAAGGAGATAACAATTAGTCTTTGACTTCACAAGTAGTAAGTGTTTAGCTGCAACATGGTTTTAAGGTGCTGCTGTTACAGATGCCAAGCACAACTGGAGCTGACCATGGTACAAACTAGTTGAGTTCATTATTCCAAGAAGTCTTAAAAGAATGCACTTTTCTTTTTACTGCTATCTTTAAAACTAGAATAGCATTCGATCCAGTCCACAGTGTAGTTTATAACCTGAGTTTTGGGGTGCTACTGCTGTTGTGCAAACTAGAAACAAGCAGCTCGATATGTCATGCTGGGATCGTTCCTGAGCCTTTGCGAAGGAAGGGCCTCAGACTTGATGACATCATCTGCATTGCTCCAGCTCTAGTTCTACCAAAGACAATAGCAGGTTTGGGTGTGTGTTTGTTTTTTTCCTTCAGAAGCTGTTAATATAATACCATAGAATCATAGTATGGTTTGGGTTGGAAGGGACCTTAAAGATCATCTAGTTCCAATCCCCTGCCATGGGCAGGGACACCTGCCACTAGATCAGGTTGCTCAAAACCTCATCCAGCCTGGCCTTGAACACTTCCAGGGATAGTGCAGCCACAACTTCTCTGGGCAGCCAGTTCCAGTGCCTCACTACTCTTGAGTGAAGAATTGCTTCCTTAGATCTAATTATAATCTACTCTCCGTTTAAAGCCATTGCCCTTTGTCCTATCACTACACGCCCTTGTAAAAAGTCCCTCTCCAGCTTTCTTGTAGGCCCCTTTTGGTACTGGAAGGCTGCTAGAAGGCCTCCTTGAAGTCTTCTCTTCTCCAGGCAGAACAACGCCAACTCTCTCAGTCTGTCTTCATAGAAGAGGTGCTCTAGCCCTTGGATCACTTTTGTGATCCTCTTCTGGACCCACTGCAACAGCTCCATGTCTTTCTTGTGTTGGGGACCCCAGAGCTGAACGCAGTATTCCAGGTGGGGTCTCACAAGAGCAGAGTAGAGGGGCAGAATCACCTCCCTCGACCTGCTGGCCACGCTCCTTTGAATGCAGCCCAGGACACAGTTGGCTTTCTGGGCTGCCAGCGCACATTGCTGGCTCATGTTGAGCTTCTCATCCACCAGCACTTCCGAGTCCTTTTCCTCAGGGCTGCTCTCAATCCATTCTCCGCCCAGCCTGTACTTACGATTGGGATTGCCCCGACCCACGTGCAGAACCTTGCACTTGGCCTTGTTGAACTTCATGAGGTTCTCACAGGCCCACCTCTCCAGCCTGTCAAGGTCCC